GTACGCCTCCTACGTCTACCTGTCCATGGTGAGTGCCAGCGGGCCCGCGGGCAGCGGGCGCGGCCTCCCTGGGCGGCGGGGCGGGGGTGTGGCTACCGGGAGGGCCCTCCCGCCTCCCGCCTCCCGCCTCCCGCCTCCCGCCTCTCGCCTCTGGTCTCCCGCCTCCGGCCTCCGTGCGCCCTTCTGGAAAACGGAGGCTACTCGAGATCCCCCAGGACTTCTGCGCAGAAATCCTGAGCAGGTGGCCTTTCCGACTGCCCCCTAGGAGTGCCCCCTCGTATGCCAGGGCCGCCTCTGCGCACCTTTTTTTTATTTAAAGCGAGCCTAGTTTCCTCCCGGGGTTGCCACCAGTACAATCCTGCAAGTAGGAAAGTGGATTTTCGCGTTTCCATCCCTTCCTCTGCATCCGATCACGTGGTCCGGAGGGGGCGGAGAGGTCCAGCTCCCGTTTCCCTTCCCCCCCGTATGGCGGTGCCTGCTGGGTAATGGTGTCGAGTGGCAACTATGGGGGCTGGGGCGAAGTGGTTTATCTCGTGGGCCGACCACTCCCGAGCAGCCGTCTCCTCCTCTCTGGTCTGCTTATCTCTAAGGCCCACTTGAATTGCAGCAGATCTCTAGATACCTCCCCATGTGCTGACACAAAGTTGTCTTAGTCAACCGTCCTTGTGCCTGGGTACTTAATTCTTTATCCTTTTTGTGTCAAAGAGTTGTGGCCCAACCGAACCCTTAGTTCTTGGGTAAGGTCCACCAGCAGTTTTGAGGCCAGGCATTTTTCCATACAGTAATCGGTGGAATCCGGTTTCCAAAATACTGGTTTTAAGCGGTGTGGCGGGAGTCTTAGAATTGTTTTACTGTTGTGCAAATCATCCAAGAATAGACATGTTCCAGATGGGTTTGGAACAGGCCTGGATTTCTATGACTGTCATTCCATTTCAGGAACACCTGAATACAGCAAGGGTCTAAAACGGAATCAAATTTTTCTTTCTACTGTTAATATATTTAATTACATTAACATTGCCCACAACTGTCACCTTGCCTAGTGGGTTAATTTTAGAAATCCATCGGTCTGCTGTGAGCTGGCAAGCTCATGTTTTAATATGGATTAATCAGGGAGGAGAGGAAGAAGGCCCTAATAGTGCAGGGTAAATACTCCAGCATTCTCCCTTCAACCACATTTGACCCTGACTGTAAGAACTTCACTTTGCACTAATACAGATCCTTCAGATGGTTCATGGTGGAGGCAATTCCCATGGTATTTCAAATGTTCCTTGTATTAAACTTTTAATTTCAAGGACCACGTTTCATTTTTGTGTTTCAGATTAAAAACTATCTACTGTTGTGTTCAATTCAGGAACACAACCTGCCTCCCAGTCTCCTTAGGCCCAGACCCCTTCTTGCTGGGCTTTAAGAAAGGAAGCCTTGGTGAGCAGATGGCCTTCCTTTAGGAATCCCTAACATGTTCATGTTCCACTTTCAGTCATACTACTTTGACCGTGATGATGTGGCTTTGAAGAACTTTGCCAAATACTTTCTTCACCAATCTCACGAGGAGAGGGAACATGCTGAGAAACTGATGAAGCTGCAGAACCAACGAGGTGGCCGAATCTTCCTTCAGGACATCAAGGTGAATGAAAGGTCCCAGGTTTGTCATGCCTCATCTATCTGTTAGGCCTCGGATGTCAGAACTCATTGAGAGGAGCAGTTGCCCTTATCAGATGAGGATGCTTTTGTGCTATTTGGGCCTACCACCTTAAGCCAAAGTGGGTAAACAGTAATGGGCAAGGATGTTAAATTGGAAGCTGTTGTCAAGGGAAACTTGGATGCTCCTTTTGCCAGAGCGCAGTGGTTACACATTGGGTGCTTGCTGATTTGTGACTGAAGTGGTAGAGACTGTAGATACATTGACCTAACATCCTCTCTTGCAGAAACCAGACTATGATGACTGGGAGAATGGGCTGAATGCAATGGAATGTGCGCTACACTTGGAAAAAAGTGTGAATCAGTCACTACTGGAATTGCACAAACTGGCTACTGACAAAAATGACCCCCACGTGAGTATCAGCAGCCTGGGAGTAAATGCAGGAAATCATTTGCCTTAGAGGCTGGGAAAGCTTACCGGTAACTTTCTTCTGTATTGTGTTTTCTAGTTGTGTGACTTCCTTGAGACCCATTACCTGAATGAGCAGGTGAAATCCATCAAAGAATTGGGTGACCATGTAACCAACTTGCGCAAGATGGGGGCCCCCGAATCTGGCATAGCGGAGTTTCTCTTTGACAAGCACACCCTGGGAAACAGTGATAATGAGAGCTAAGCCTTAGGCTGGCTTCCTGGAGCCACAGGGGTGACCTCCCTGGTCACCAAGGCAGTGCATGCATGTTTGGGTTACCTTTACCTTTTCTATAAGTTGTACCAAAACATCTACTTAACGTTCTTTCCTTAGTACCATTCCTTCAAATAAAGTAATTTGGTACCCAGCTGTTGTCTTCAAGTTTTTGGGATGGGCTACAAATGTATCTAGACCATCTTTGTTAACTTTGTGAGTGCCACAGCTCAATCACACTAATGAAAATGAAACTTAGGAGGATTTATATTTATTAAATTCCTTAGTTTGGGAAAGATACCAAGGCTTCAGTATGTTGAATTCAGACAGGACGTAAGGACTTAGGATTCTGAATTAGGTGTTTTGTATTACATGTTTCCAGCAGTTGTTACCTTTCACAGTTTATACGAAACTAGTAATTTTAGTTACCTTTTAAGCTAACCATTTAATTCAGGCTGTCATGGGGACATATTCTTCAGTGTGGACAGCTATATGGCTATGGCTGGATCAGTGTCCTGCTGGTGTACACGCAGGTAGGACCAGGCCGGTGAAGCATCCCCCTTGGAAATGGGCTAGGAATGTGCTTCATCCCTAGTGAGAATTAGAAAGTTTACAACATGAATATGGAAAGAAAGATACTTTCATTTCAAAATAAAAACAGCTGCAGTAGGAGGGCAGAGGTAGAATCATCTTAAATGTTAACCAGTGAGTGGTGCTAGGAGACTGCAGAGCTATCTGCATCCTTGCTGGCAACTACATTAATATCCTTCCCTAAATCGGCCATAGTGATTTGTAAGTTTCTGGCCCTAGAAGCAAGACAGGTGGTAGCCCTTTCCAGTTTTCAATACAACGCTCTGTCCACAGAATAACTGCTTGAGAATCTGAAAATAGAAAGTTACACTTCCTAGGTCGTGATTGGGGGTGGGGTAGGGTGTATTTAATGGGTGAGTGTCCAGGAAATCTGGAATAAAAGGAGATACCTAGTGGTTTTGGGACAGCTTTGGGTCTAAGGAAGCAAGAAGAGCTCATTTAAATTGGGAAGTCTTGGTGAGGGCCCCAAAGCAGTCAGGTAACTCAAGGGACCTGGATGCCCCCACCTTACCATCTGCCAGTTCCCAGGGATGTGGTACCCTTCCCAGGAGTGCTTCAGGACCACCGTCAAGGGCTTGGGGCAGTGCTCGTGCGATCTCCCTACTAAGCCTGGGCAGTAAGTTGAATTCTTGGGCTATAGCCTCGAGCCCTCAGTTCAGCCCCATGTTTCTGTGTCAGCCACCCCTGCTAAAAGTGAGCTGAGCCCATTGGTAACATCAGCCCATCTAAGCCTGGCCTGGTGGTCCTTCACCATCATTCCTGTCAATACAACCTCATCTTATACCTGGGTCCCAGAGAAGCCTTGGTGATGTCAGGCTCTTGGGTAGAATAAGCAAAGTCCCCGACACTTCCCTAGGGCCCTTGCTGTGGCAGCCAGCTGTGTGCCCCAAGCCAGTGCTGGGCAGATGCCCAGGATGCTCCGGCAGCCATAATATGAGAAGAATTGTGAAAGAAAGGTAGGCTTCGGAGCAAGGAAGCTGGTGGGGGCCACCCATGGGGGCTGGGGGTTCAGTGGCCCTGGTTTGGATGGAGGACAGACCTGTTTTCCAAGGCCCAGTAGGGGTCTCCATGATCTTCAAGGATAGTGTCCAGGTTGCTTGTCGATTGTTCCAGATGTGGTTCTCTGAGATGTTCAGGGGCCTCTGACATATCTGTCAAGTTAAACTCAACAGTTTTCCTCCTCACGTGACCCACTTCTGTTTTCTCGGTCAAGGCCTCAGCACTCTCTGGGAGCAATTCAAAACTCTTCTTGGTCCTGGGAGTTGCAGGCTGAAGGCTTTGGTCTTTGACAGTGTCATCTATGCCTGAGACCCTGCGAAGACTTGCTGACTGTCCAGGTGGGAAGACCATAGGGGTGTGGCTGAGGGGTGTCTGTGGGGCACTGTGGTAACCTGACCACCCATAGAGTCCCACAGACTTGAAGGCATCCTCCTCCTTAATCTTCCAGGCCTTGCCATCTTCCTGGTCACTAGTGCCATGTTCGGCTCCCCCGAGGTTCTTGGACTGGCCCTCATGGAGAAGGGCCTCTTTCTTGGGCCACAGTAGTTTGGTCTTTGAGTTTGTCCTGGGGGGCTGGCGGTCGTGAGATTGCAGCCCTAGGAAGCGGCCAATGATGCCCTTGTGAGCACCGTCCTCCTCCTCCTCCTCTGGGTCTGGCTGAAACTCCATATCTGCCTTACCCAGACTGGAAAGAAGCAAGAGACTCAGGGGTTAGTGGAGAGATGAAGGCTGGAAGCCTGGCTTGACTTCTTCACCCCCTCGTCTCCCTCTTGCTGGCCCAAGGCCAAGGATGCACAGCCTCCCTCTGTTCCCCAGGTACAGATGGTCATGTGAGGCCCAGGAGGGACTCTGGGTAAGCCAGGGATTTGTGGTTCCAACTAGGGAGCAGCATCCACACCCAAGGAGAGAGGTCTGGCTTCCTGGGAGCCCAAGGTCTTTCCTCTGCCAGAGAAAGCCTATCTGCCCCAGAGTGTGGCCTGCCCCCGCCCATGTCCAAATTCTCCCCGTGCTTCAAGGCCCAGCCCCAGGTCCAACTGCAGGCCACCTCTCAGGCAGCCAAAGGTGATCTCTGGTCTATACTCTGTCCCTTCCCAGGGATCCAGGACTTTGTACCTTGTATTCAGAGCTTGAGCCTTTGGTTTGAACTCCCTCACTAGATTGTGTGTTTCTTGGCAGCAAAGTCTATGTGTTGTCATTCTCTGTTATCCACCCTCCCCAGATGCTAGACTGCAAACCAGGTAGAACTCAGAGGCGACCTCCAAAAATGTTTCTGACTTAAGCAAGCCTCCATCCTTGATCATTTGATCACTTACCCAAACCTTCCACACACCAACTAGAGACTCTAGCTAATTTTAATTACAGCTTATTCAGTTCTTAAAAAGAGAACAGTGGGGGAGGGTATAGCTCAAGTGGTAGAGTACATGCCTGGCATGCACAAGGTCCTGGGTTCAATCCCCAGTACCTCCTCCAAAAAATAAATAAATAAATAAACCTAAGTACCTCCCTCCCCCAACCAAGAAAAGAGAGAACAGTACTTTTAATACTGTGGAAGAAAACCTTGATGGTACGGACCCTGACATGCAGCAAACACTCTCCCGAGGCCTCGCCACTCTGTCACCCTGGGGAGAGAGGGCTACAGCTTGAAAGGGATTCTGACCAGATCAGGAGAACAGGACCCACAGGGGTAAGCTTGGCTGCTGAGGCCTGTACACTGCAGTAAGAAGTCTACTCAGCAGGTACCTGTGATGGCCCAGCCTCCTGCTCCCTTGCCCAGGGGACCCCATCCACTCCCCATCCAAACATCCCAGCTTATCAGAAAACAGTTCTGAACCAGAGTCAGGAACCAGGCCCTGACACCCCAGCTGCACCACTAGTCACTCACTGACTGCCCTCGAGTAAGTCCCTTCTCTCTCTGAGCCTCGGTCTCCAACTCTGGTCACAGGGGACTTAGATTGGAGGTACCGAAGGGCCTTCATAGCCTTAAGAGTCTTCACACAGTACAAGGTAAGGGTTGAGGGTGTGGTGTTGGAACTAGACATACCTGGCCCACATGTGCTGCTCGCTAGCTATGTAACCTTGGGTTGGGCAACTGACTTAACCTCTCTGAACTGGACTTAATCATCTGAAAACTGGAGATAACAAACCAAGGTTATTGGGAGGGGGGAAAAATAGCTGAAAAAATATATAAAGAGCTTAATATAACGTCCAGCCCTGAGTAAGCACCCACTATGCATGAACTAGTGCTATTACAAGGTCTTGGGCAGGCCCTTGCACTTGGAGCTTTCTACCCACCGAAGTGGTTCCCTGGCACTTCCCACCTGATGTTGAAGGTGGAGCCAAAAAAGGAGGGTCGGCGAGACTGGGCAGAGGCAGCCGTGTAGGGAGGATGTGGTTCTGGCTCGTTCCAGTACATGTCCCGCTCCATAGGGGGCAGGTCCTGGTGCATCTCATCTACAGCCAACAGGGACACCTGGTCGTCAGGGACAGAAGAAGGAGAAGTCCAACAGAAAGGTCAGCCTGAGCAGGAGTGTGCATTTGCCAGGCGGCTTGGAGAGCTCATTTCCCTCTCTCTGGGCCTCAGATTCCCTGCTTGTGAAATGGGGAGACTGACGCCTGCCTGCAGCCTCAAAATTCAGGCTGAGAATCCTGTGAGTGAATAGGCCAGGGGCAATTCACTGTGGGGCCTCCCTATGGAACTGTGGGGTCCCCCTCCCTGGGTCCAGTTTGGGGAGGGTCCACAGGGACAGGCTTTCTCCTTTCATACCTGCAAGCTCCTGTCCACAATCCAGTTGGTCTCAAAGTCATCATCATCCTCTCCAAACGGGTTGATGAGCTGCTCTGCCACCTTGGTAGGGTAGGTGAGGCTCTGGAAATCCTCAGGTGGAACCCCTCATAGCCTTGCTCCACTCTTAAACCTTGGCTCCTGCATTTCCACCCCTCTGGCCCCCTCAACAATGCCCTTCCCTCCTGATCAGTGTCTCCAAAGCCACTGCGTATGGACCTCCTCTCATGGCTGGCCATGACCCCCTGGGCCACGCCCACAGCCGGCTTTGTCCCCCGAGAGGCTTACCTTCAGCCAGCCGGCATAGAAAAAGAACTGCAGGAACGTGAAGAGGGGCACAACAAGGTCCATCTCGTGGCCGGGGTAGGCTTTGGCTGGGTTCAGAAACTGCCGCCCAATCAGGCAAGCCAGGAAGAAGCTGTAGACCGCCACGGTCACCACCTGGGAGGGAAAAGAGATGGTGGCAGATATGGGCTGGATGGGGAACTTGGGGTCAGGAAGGTCCCTAGGTTGGGGGCACAGGCCTTGCTCTGACTTGCACACTCGTGTGACTTTGGGTCTCTGCGGTCTCCTCTTTCTTTTTCTTTCCTTTTTTCTTTTTTTGGGAGGATGGGGATGGGGGAGATAATTTGATTGATTATTTATTTATTTATTTACTTACTTACTTACTTATTTATAGTGGAGGTACTGGGGATTGAACCCAGGATTGAACCCTCCCCACTCTGTGGTCTCCTCTTTAAAATGAGATAATCACACTACCTCCACTTCCTGGACAGGCAGGGGCTGGACACTTTGAACTTGGCACTAGAGCGAACCTGCAAAGTCCAGACCTGACTCCCAGGATGAGCCTCTTCTTCAGCCTCTAAATGAGCCCTTCCCATCATAGGGTGCTTCCTGGGTCCTCCTAGCCTCAACTTCCCAAAGGGGCTGCTTCACCAGCCTAGTCCTCACCTGAGTGTACACCAGCGGGACACTGATCCAGTCGTAGGCATACAGGTGTCCACACTGACTACGCAAGGTGTTCATTTCCTAGAGGGGCAGGAGGGAGGATTGGGGTTTTGACCACCACCTGCTCTCCTGGGCTCCCCTCACCAGCTCTTCCAGGTCTGGTGCTCATGGTCCAGCCTTGGCTGTGTGGTCATAGCAGTTCACTTAACCACTCTGTGCCTCAGCCTCCTCATCTATCAAAAAGGAACCAAGATCTCAGAGGCTCACCTTAGAGAGGGGATGGGAGAGAAATTTGAAAGGGGCCACTTTGGGCTATGCAAGTCTGTTGGAAAAGATCCTATAGTCCCAGGCAGGCTCTGGGAAGACCCTCAAGGACTCAAGCCTTCTCTTTGGAGGAAACCTTGTTCCACGTGGGGCACGACCCTCCCAGCTCCGCAGCAGCCTCATCTGGGTAGGGGGCTCACGTTGAGCAGGCTCTGGAGCAGGACAGGGTCCCGGATTCGACCTTCAATCCAGGCCTTTGTTGACAGGTTGGCAAACCATACCCAGGGCATCCAGAACGAGTTGTGTGGCAAGCTCAATTTTTCCAAGTGTTTGTGTTCCAAAGGGGTCATAAAGCCTGGTGGGTAGAGTGGAGAAGGCAGGGGGTAGAGGAACCTGCAGAAGGGGTGGTTGGCCCTGCAGGACCCAGAGTTCAGGCCCGAGTCCCTGCTGAGCCCACAGGGACATCAGAGCTCCTTTGCCATCCTCTTTCTTTCACCAAATAACCGCTGAGTGTCTACTCTGTGCTGCTCTGGGCTGAGCACGCGAGAGGGATCTTATTAACCAGGATCAGGCAAGGCCAGAGGTTGCTGTATAGACCGAGGTTGCTAATGTGCAGACTGGAAACCGGAGAACAGGAACGCGGAGGGCAGAGAGAGGTAGACCCGAGTTCCTCACCAGTTCCCAAGGCCGCACTCTGGCCTTCAACCCTCACTCTTCCCTCATTCCTCAAGAGTCCCTAGCCCTGTCTCAAAGCCCTATCACCCAAAGGTCGGTTCCTGGTCTCTTACCACCTTCAGACCCCTGACTCCGCCCCGCCCAATTCAGGCTCCTAGGTCTCCACCCGACCCGGCTCCTGGCCCCACCCAATCCTCTGCACAAGGGCCTCTGGCTCCACCCATCTCCAGCTCCGGCCCCGCCCCCGCCGGCCTATGGCCCCGCCCTCTGTCCCGCCCGGCCCCGCCCGGCCCCGCCCACCTGCTTTCACCAGGTGCTGGGGACTGGGAAAACGCTTGTAGACCGCGGCGCTGACGCTGCGCAGGATGAGCACGTTGCCCAGATTGGCGTAGCGCATGAGCGTGCGCCGCAGCAGCCGGCCTTTCTCGTCCTTGCCCTCGACGAAGCTCGACACGAGGTTCATGAGGCGGTCGGGCCACGGCAGGTTCTCGTACTGGTTCCACCAGCGGGTCACGACCAGCGTCACGTAGAAGCCTGGGCAGGAGGGGGCGGGGGGCGAGGCGCGAAGGCCCAGGCTGCGGCCAGAGCCCAGCGAGGGCGACGCCTCGGTGTCTCCGTCTTTCTAATAGGGATGTCAGGCGCTCGGGATGGGGAGACCATCAGACCCTCTCATGAAGGAGCAAGCCTCGAGTTTTCTCTCTCGGGGCCCCACTGCCTTACCCAGGAATCCGCCAGACCCCTCCCCTCCTGCGCAAGGCTCCAGGGACGACTACCATGTCAGCGCTGCCGTTAGAAAGGGAGGTGTAGAGAGCTAACAGCACGACGTCCTTCCTGACGTCTAACTTCAGTCCCTCTGGCTTCAGGCTCCCCATTTTCCTCAACTACCAAGAGGCACTGACATGCCACTGGCCTTGCCCAGATAGCTTCCCCTGATCCGCCTGTCTGGAGCCTGGAGCAGCCACCCGGGCCCCAACACTCAGAAGGGGGAGCTCACCCAGCACGAAGGAAATGGGGATGAGTTGGATGTAGCCATCACAATACAGAGTCAGCTTCTCAAAAGTCACCTGCTGTTCGTCAGTGAGGGCCATCCTGGGGGGTGGAGTCAGAGTGGATAAAGATGTGAAGACACTGGGAGGAGATGACTGAGACTGGTCCCAGGTCCAGCCTGGCCCAGCATAGGAGTGTGGCTGCCTGACCTCCCCACTGTTCCTTTCACTGGTCCACCTCCGGACCCTCCTGTGGCCTGAGCCAGGTCCCACTCCTTCTCTGGCAGCCCTAAAACCCCAGTGAGTCCTCTTCTCCATACCTGGAGGAGACCCCCTCAGAAGGTTTCCAAGGCAGTCCCGCTGAAGGAGTCAGTTTTAGGCACCACTGACCCTTTTAAAGAATTGAAAAGACAGTTGTTTGAAAACAGGTTGAAAATAGAATGTTTGGTCAGGAGATGAATAGGCAGAGCGCAGAGGGCTTTTATAACAATGAAACTCTTCTGTAAACACTGTGATGGTGGCTATATGTCTGTACACACTGTCCAAACCCACAGAATGTACACCAAGGGTGAACCCTGGTGTCAGCTACGGACTTTGGATGATAATGGTGTGTCAGTGTGGGTTCATCTATTATCACAAATGTCCCACTCTGCAGTGGGATGTTGATGAGGGGGAGGCTGTGTGTGCGCGGTAGAAGGGGTGGGGTACTGCGGACTCTCTGTATCTTCAGTTCCATTTTGCTATGAACCTAAAACTGCTCTAAAAAATAACATCTAATTTTTTAAGTGTGTGGGTTCCCTAGTAACAACCAAAGGAAACCAGTGTGCTTTGTTGTCAGAATCATCATTATAAACTGAAGAATTTCATGTATTTAATATTTTTCAATTCATTGTCATCATGAATGCTTTTTCCATTTCAAATGCTATCATATATTCTGTGGTTATATATGTCTTATATTTTATTGTTTAAATAAACAATTTAATTAGGAAAAAAAAGTGTGGTCTGGACCTGCGAGACTATGTGGGATTCAGGAAAACAGGCTGAGTGGGACCAGGTAAGGCCTGGGTTCCAAGGCTCCTCCCTGGGTTGGAGGAAAGGGTGTTTGAGATGCTTCTGACCTGCCTTGAGCTGCTCTCCCCACCTGCCTCCTCTTCTCTCCTCCCCAGTCCCCAGGGCTTGGCCACAAGCTCAGCTCAGCCCTATAGGTCTCTGTGCATCGGCCCTTCTGGATGGCTGGGGGCCCCGGATTGTCCCCTGGTACCTGTAAATGAAGCGGATGATGTAGTAGCAGAGCAGGAAGATGAGGAACTCGCCATAGAGCAGCTTGTAGATGCTGCCCCGCCAGCACAGCAGCAGGCGGGAGAAGGAGCCAAAACGGGCATTAGCCACTTGGCTTGAGTAGGTGACAGTCATGGCTAGGCACTGGGCTGTGGCGGGTGGGCTTGGGTCCTGGTGGACAGATGAGAGGGATACTGATGGGGGTGGGAAGGGACAGGGACCTTGGTCAGAGTCTGTCCAGGACTCATAAGTGACTTTAGCTGGGACCCTTCCCCGCTCTGGGCCTCAGTTCTCCTATCTGGATACTGGGAGGGGAATGGGGTGACCTCTAAGAAGCCAGGGAAGTGAGCTCAGAAGCTGCCCATAGCCTTGGTGTGGAAGACACAGGGAGGTCTGTGCCTTTACACTGTATGACCAAAACAACAACAGAAATGTCCATGCGCTAGGCTCCATCCTGTATCCCTGTCCCAAGTGCCTAGAACAAAGCCTGGCCAATGGAGATGTTTACTGAATGGTGGCCCCGGGGCCTTTCCACCTGCTGACCCTCCTTCCTGAGGGATGCTCTTCCTAATCTAGCTGTATGGCTCACTCCCACTTCAAGTCACCTCCTCACAAAGGTCGTCCCCAGCCACCCTACCTGGAAATACCAACTCTGTACCACCAGCATTCTCTTTGCCTTGCCTTACTTGATTTTTCTACATAGCACTTACTGTGTTATACTTGCAATTATATTTTGCAGGCTATCTGCTTGCTCACTGTCTATTCCATCTTGAGAATGGAAGATCCTATTGTGTTCTCAGAGGAGGTGCTCAGTAAAACTTACTGAAGCAATGATTGGCACCCCACCCTCCCCCACCTCACTCTGATGCAGCCATACTGGCTGTCTCCATGCCTGGTGAACACTAAGTTCATTCCCACCTCAGGGCCTTTGCACAAACAAGTGCCCTCACACCTGCACATGTGCTATCTGTGGGTATCCATCACACGCATGTCATCCACCCCCAAGGCCCTCAAAAGCCCCAGCCCAGCCTGTAGGTAACCCCTACTCACAGGTGGGGCTCCAGGCTGGTCAGGAGATCTCACAAAAGGTCTGGCTTCAGGACTGGCGGGACCTTCTGGGGTCCTGTAGCCAGTGCCTCAGCTCACACTTAGGCGCTGGCACTGCCCATATGTATCCTAAGCGGTCACTTGACTCCCTAAGCCAAGGCCTCCACAAAGGAGCCTTTGTCTTGGCCCCTCCTCCATAATCTTCCCATAAGCAGCAGGCAGCTTGGTCCACCCAGGGCCCCTCTAATTCCTTCCGGTGAGGGAGGGCGGTTTTGGGGCTGAGAACAGGGCTGGAATTGGGGGCAACCCCCCTCCACCATGGGCCCTGCCGATTCTGCAGTTTCCTTGGGGCCCTAACCGCCAGAGATTGAAGGATCTGTTTCTTGACGTCTTGCAGGGTGAGCTGTGGGGAGGAGGGGCCGGGGCCTTGGGCTCATCTCCTGGGCCAGGCGCCATCCAGAGAGAGGCGCCTCTGCCCAGGCCCTGTGGGTACCCAAAAGAACATTGGACCACAGTCAGAAATCCTGGCTTCTAGTCCTGGCTCTGCCACCTGGTGTGGTAACTCTGGGTCTGGCCTCTGCTCATCTCTAGGCCTCAGTGTCCCTCTCTGGAAAAGGATGGCGTTGCATTAGAATTCCATCACCTCAGTAAGATGATGGAATTCTGCCTATACTCGTGAAGAGCTCTGATTGGCTGCTGGTGACATCATCGGTTATTCAGGCTGTGATTGGCTGGCAGAATCCAGTTAGCAGGTCGGCTTAGAGCTACGCAAGGAGAAGAGAGGGGGAACGAGCGGACTGCTGTGTGGGGGCCGGGCCTGGTGCGGGATGACACAGCAGCTCTGAGGTTTATGCCGCTGGCTCCCTCCCAGCCCATGCAGTAGTGGAGTACGTGCCCGGGTCCCCAAGGGCAGCTGGTTAATACCTCAGCAGCTGATTCCATACATTTAAATACGTCAGTCCATACATGAGAGCCCTCCTAAGCCGCTGGAAGTGATGGGTGTCTAGGACATATCTCCTCTTATTTTAAGTGAAAGCTTGAAGCTACAGTGGCTCTTGGTCTTCAGTGACCATAAGAATGGCCTGGAATGTTTACTAAGCATGCAGCTTCTCAAGGTCTTTCTCCAGAGTCTGATTCTGCGACCTGAAGGATGCTGCATTTCTAACGAGCACAGTGGGGATTATAATGCCAGTGGTCTTTGGACCGCACTTTCAGAAGCCCTGATTTACGATATGATTTTGAACCTTAAAATAAATCCACTCCTTCCCTCCTTCACTCTCCCCTTCCCTAACCCTCCCCCGCCACCCCAGCCCCATACTCCTTAGTGTTTAACAATGCTGAGATTGCAGGTGATTTTTGTGCATATCATTTTGCCTTTATAATTCTCTGCCTGGAAAGAAAAATTATTTCACAACAACATTGGGTGCTTTTCCAATCACAGCAATCAGGCCATTACTATTAGAAGGGAGTCTCTTCAGATCAGAGCCATCTTTTTGATGTATTTGCTGCATCCCAGCCACCCGTTCTGTGGGAGACATCATTCCCATCACTGTCCTTAGCTGAACTGGGGAAAGGGGCAGGTTCGCTTGAGCCTCAGTCTCCTCATCTGTGAAATGGGACAATAATTCTCGGCAGCTGTAAGAGTATGATGGATGAGAAACGTTTTAGTCAACTCTCCAAACCAGTGGTTCTCGTGCCTGACTGCCTGTTAACTTTTCCAGGGGAACATGTACAAGCCCCTAGTGCCTCTGCCCCACCGCCCAGATTCAGTTGGTCTGGGTGGAGCCCTGTCGTATTTGTTCAAGCTCCCCAGATGAGTCTAATGGAAAGTGTGGGCTGAGGATCACTGCTGCGACGGAATATTTCCCTTCTTTGTATTCCCTCTTTCCCCACCAACACATACCAACACTCAAGAGAGAGCTTCCATTTAGCAGATGATTAATAAATATATTTTGAAATTAACATTGAAATATATGCCTGGCATCACACCTGGCATGGGGATGCTCACTCTGTGTTAGTTGAAATAAATGAGCCACCTGCCTTTGAGGGGTCACCTTCCTGCCTCCCCTATGATGGCCACTGGAGGGCGCCCTTGAATAGCTGACTTTGGCCTGGAACGCCTGGTCCGCAGGCAGTCTGTGTGGATGGTGGAACTGGCACTGGATGGCACCTTCATGTTCTTGACTCTGACCAGCAGCTATAAGAACCATGAAAGGGAGACACTGGAGTCCTCTCTGTCTTTCCCTAAACCTCATATGCCTTGGCAATATCCAGCAGGACCAGCTGACTCTGCTGCCCCAGCCCCCTTCCCTTCCACATGCCCCAGGATATCCCGAGACACCCCGTGAGCAAGTGCTCCTGGTCCCACCTGAGGCACACCCCAGGTACAAGTCATGGTCTTTTCCACTGGGTCTTGGTCATGAATATGTTCCCAGCCAGCTAGGCATGACTCAGGTACACAGAAAGGCCACAGCAAACACTGATTGATCCAAGCCATGCTTGGATGAAGGGCCCCAGGATTGACCCCTACAAGGATGGGGCCCAGCCTTGTCAGGGTTGGCCTCTTCTGTTTTCCATTCTGTAAAATACAGAGTCAAAAAACCATTTCCGACTCCAGAACTGAACCTAATCTGATTTCTGCCTCCAAGAATTCATAGATAGCTAAAAACCAGGGACACACTTAAATAGCTCTATTAGAGTGGCAGGGCCTAGTAGCTGTGCCAAGTGTATAGAAGTCAAGGAAACCTTTACAGAGATGGGAGAATTTGAGCTGGATCTTGAAGCATGAGTAGGAGTTTGTCTGAGTTGAGAAGGATAGAAGAGCATTACATATAAGGGGAACAGCCCATGAAAAGTCATAGAGACATTACTGAGGGACAGTTCAGTATGGCATTATTATCCACATTTTATAGAGGAGAACCCTGAAGTTCGTAGCCAGCGTTGTCCAAGGTAACATGGCTATAAAGGGCCAGGTTGGAACTGGAACCTGGGTCTTCTGATTTTGGAGCCTGTGACTTTTCTACCACCCCTCATCACCTCTTCAGGGGTGGTCCGTTTCTGAAGGATGGAGTATTACTTGTTAGGGTAATGGTCTCTGTCAGAGTTGAAGGGAGGTCCAGGGGATAGGGGATGCAGAGAAGAGATTTTGCAATAAAGCCCATGCTCTCGAGCCCCCCAGCAGAAAGCCATCTCTGGGGGCAGGCAGAGCAGAGCTAGGCAGATGGGTAGAGGTTCCAGAGGCAGAATGATATGACTTTCTCAGCTAGGATCACCATGGCAACAGGAGCATCACAGAGGGCCTGCCACTGTGCCCTTCCAGGCCCTATCTCAGCCGGGCAGAAAGGAGAGGACCCAGCTTGGCTGGGGGGCAGTGGGCAGGTGGCCCTGCGGTGGGCCAGCCAGGCCTGGATGCTGCCTCCAGGCTCTGTGTAGGGCAACTGCCAGCCCACACCCCTCTCTTAGGCCAGTCACAGTACGAACAGGACTGAAGCCAAGGGAGAAAAGAAGAGGTCTTGGCACAGCTGGACAGGGAGGAGAAGGGATACTGCCAGCCCAGGGCCAGGAAGCAAGACAGACTACAACACCTCCACCCTGGGGCCAGGCGGCCCTGAAAGGCCAAACAGAGTCAACATTCAAAGAAATGAACACATAACCTGTGGCTCCTGCAGGAAGACAACAGGGACCAGGAGAGGCAGGGAGAGGCTGGGACACACCCACATCCAGCTTCACCAAGCCCAGTCCTGCCAGTGACAAAGGAATAGCATACAATAGGCCAGAGCCGGCCCAAGGGCAGATGCAAAGCGAGAGGATTCACCACAGCCTTGGGGAGAACACTGGCATCTCTGAGTTACCCCGCCCCATGGACTCTGCTCCCCTGAAGCCAGCCAGGTGAGGCACAGACCCTACCCACAGCCCTCACCCCACCAGCTCCAGACCAGGGCTGAAGGTCAGGGGAGGAGGAAGGGGAGCATCCCAGATTAGGCCTCCCCTAGAGAGCTGCGCTGGATGTGAGAGGACAGGACGCTGTCATACCTTCACTGCAAGTCAGTAGCCTCAGCTTTCCTCCTCTGCAGAATTGGGCACATAAGCAGTTTCATGTACTGTAGACAAATAAAG